AGTTATTCCCACCTAACAGTAAATATATTATTCTCTTAATGGGCACCCAGCGGCACTTAAGTGCACAGGAAATATCGGTGTTATGACTGATATTTTAAAAAGCAGAACATAATATTAGGCATCTAAATTTATAATTAAACACCTAAAAATATGGCTCAGTTTTCAAAATGCTGAAAAACTTCCTCATAATCAGTTATAAGTGATTCTACATGTGATCTAGTTGCCTAGCTTTACTTTGGCAGCAAAATGTTCCTCCTGACCTCTTGGCATGTATTAATACCTCATTAGAAATACAGCAACTTACCCTTACTACAGTAGAAATGCACTTGCAAATATCCCCCCCAAACTATTTCTTCACTTTTAATTGTTGAAAACTGTTTACAGCAAGAGTAAAAAAAAAATACCTAGACCATAATCCCTGTTTATCACAAATAAGAAGTGATCTTTCAAGCATAAAATGTAGTCCAGCAGATGTCTCTGATGTAATGACTCACGGTAGGCAATGGAATTATATCAGCAGAATTTTACCGTAAGTATTTAAATATATATAATGCCATTTATTATTCTAAAATAGATCAGTAGAAAAAGCTTAGCTTTCTATGTACTTTTTCACCTCCCTACAACATTTTACATGTATGAAATTTCTAAGAGATGAAAGGTAACTATGTAACCAAATACTGTGCGTTTTTTGAGTCCTCCTCAATGTCTAGTGACTAGAATAATAGCAGAAGCAGAACTAGATACCTGCAAGAGAAAAGAAAGCTTTCCCTATTACAGACTTGGAATTCACAATGATATCTGAGACATTATTTCCTAGAGGTCACTATAGAAACCATTATCATCTTATGAAAGGTCAGCTGGATAACTGACAACAAAACATTAGTGTCTCTTAACAATATTGGTTTCTCTTCTTAAAATTTAAATAAAAGAATGTTAAAGATTTTCTAACTAGAAATATAAAAGGCTATTAAATCACCAAGTCAATACCCTTGAAATTATAGGATGTAGTCCTCCCCATCAGGGACATATCAAATATTGTATCGATGGCAGGACGTCACACTGGAAACAGGATACATATAATATTTAGGTTGGCAAAGAACATGAAACATGAAGGAATTAAGATAGAAACCCACAATTGTTACCCTTTCTTTAAAAACAAAACAAAACAAAACAAAACAAAAAAAAATAACAAAAAACCACAACCAAAAACCAAAAAAGTCTTTTCTTCTCTTTCCATGCGACAGGAAGAAATGTATTACATGTATTGTGATTCTAAAATGTTAATTTTTTGTTAACCTTTATGAGAAAAGATATGAGGGTACCAAGCCATGCAAGGATATTATGGGCTAGTTGTTACGCTGCAAACAGTCCTGGTAAAGTTAATGGGACTATATATGGAGATCATTACTACTCAATGGGCACATCTACATGTCACGTCTATATGGTGATGTTGTTACTGCACCATGATTTAGTGCTTCCTTTTGGCACAGTTAACAGCCTGTACTGCACTGTACTCGTGGCCCATGATTAATTTTTAGCAGCTACTTTGGTGTAGCAGTGTGCTATACCAGGGGAGCATGTCACTATGGCAAAGTAGCTGCTGGTTACATGTAGATGCCTGCGGTTGCTATGTTGCCATAGTGCATTGCTACATCGCCATAGTGTCACGTGTAGACATGCCCAAATTAAGTTAAAGTACACATTTTGTCCCTAAAAAGCCCAGAGGTCAAAACTCCATTGACTCATAAAAGGGCCAGGATTTTATCTAATTTTCAAGTGTAGACAAGTAATCACTGCAGGCACCATTGATATAGGAACGCTTTATGCAACTGTTTTACTCTCAACATTTCTCTTCCTAATTAATGACCCTAAGACTGATCGTAGCTTCACACAAACCCAAACCGTGCTCAGCTTTAGGTGTCATGTACCCTGGGGATTTGCTCCTGTTTCAGTCACCTATGAGCAACCATTAGCATAACTGCACAACCACTAAAGTCTAGGCAAGTACACGTGGCAAACTGCAACATGCTTTGGAGTTGACACTGGCTTCAGCAGAGGAAAGCTTTGTTAGGGGAAATCCCAGCTGAAGTTCTTGATATCATCAAAGTTTTACTAAAACGACAGTTATCAGTGACTGAAGCAGGGTAAAACAGGAGCCTTAGTTTTCTTTAATAATAAAAAAGCTTTCTTGTTTAAACACAGCCCATAATCATTGAATGTGGGAGCATATGTAACACCAGAGATCCCACAGATAACTGCAATGCTGACAAGCTAAAACCAAGGTTTCCCTGACTTGTGGATTCCCTTAATTTTGTGTCTCATGTAAAACCAAACAAAATGTACAATTATGTACAAGCAGTGGCTTAACTTTGTAAGAGATATTGTATGAAATAGAATTTTATCCCTGGATCTCAGGCTTATTTTTAAAAGTACATAGGGTCCTATAATAACCAGGCATCTAAATGTGGGGTGAGGTGGAAGTGTGTTGTTTGAAATACATACACAATGCATTACTAATTTCTTAATATTATTCCTAATATAGTTAGGAATAAAACTACCCAAAGAAAAGACCAACATAAAAGTGAGGCTTGTAACTTGGAACATGCATCTTTAGGACACTATGGGTAACGCATTAAAAAATGCCCAAGTGATTTTGTAGCATAAGTCCTGCTGAAGGTCAGTGGACATTAGGCTCTCGAGTCACTTCTTTTGAACATCTTATTATGTTCCTCTGAAAGATAAACAGATTTTATTGCCGTGCAACGCAAGTACAATCCATTTAACAGACAGCGGAAGGTCTTGCTCAGTAGCCAGAACGGTTTTATACTAGACTGACACTAGTACACCATGTGCTGCTCAGTAAATCAGAAACTATGTGCTTTAGTTTAGCCAACAGTAAAACAACCATGCTTAGTTATGAGGCATACGTAAACGGAGAGTCTCACGTGAAAGCTGCTGTGTGCAAGCAAATATTATTTTCACATGGAAAGAAAGACAAATTGTTTGAGATCCCGATGATTGCGGCGGAGCTCCAGGAGGATGTATGAATTCCATGGCACTCAAGAAAAACAAGCAAGCTCCAGAATATACACTTGTTATGAATTAACATGTTCTCTCAAGGGAAAGAGTTCAGTTGATAGCAGCACGAACATATTAAACAAATGCAAGCCATTAAAGCAATATGCTTCTGCCAGCCTTCTTGCATAATGGAGACGATGGCATTTTCGTGTCTCTTGTATGAGACGACAAAGGGATTAAAAAAACAAAACAAAACCATACTGACCCTATTTAAGGCTTGGCTATGGAATATTTTTTCTAATGTAGAAGGGACCCCCCCCCAACTCAGTTTTACAGATCATTTCTGTAAGTGTAATGCTAAACAGTGTTGAAGAAAGGAGTAGTATGCCTTTGTCTATTCATTCTCACCGTTTGGTTATCTTTCCTGTTTATCTTACAATGATAGGTAAGACCAACATGAAGGGTTAGCATTCATAATATGACATAAATCTACTGGTTTCCTACTTGAAAAGGTAAACAAACCTGTTTTGAGAAACTGCAAAGGCGTGTAACAGAACTGTGTAACACAACTTGGACATTACATTTAGCATTAGGGTCTTGGGGTCATTGGTGCAAGAATGCATAAATGTAAATGCAGACAATTTTTGACCTAAACTGCCTACTAGTGCTGAATTTCTTTTTCTACTACACAATCACCCTCCCAATACTGAAGAGTTTTTAAAGTTACTTTTCTGTACTTTTGCATTAAATTGTCTAATTTCTGGCTACAAATTTGCTCTGTATTAAGTGACAACACATTTTTGTCTTCTCTGTTTTTGTTGTTCTTAAAATATTGATAATTGTCACAGTGCTTGCATTTCTAAGCTTCCTGCAACTTCTTGCAATTTGTTTTACAAGTGCTTTTACATTTCTGCCTGCAGAAGAACTGAAAGCAGAGAACTACGAAGTTTCTTTCATAAAAGTGTACGGACTTAAAGTATAACTGGCCAAGCTTAAATTTTATCCTGATCTCTAGTGCCACCTATAGATGATATAAAAATACTTCATTATCACTTTGGAGTTCAAATTCTGGAATTCTACGTACGTTAACTTTCTGCATACAAACAGGGACATGAAAACTGACCTGAATTTTCAAATTCCAATTTTAGTGCATTTGTATTAGGGACAAAAAGTAGCAAGACATTTCTTTGAGCTACAATAAGAAAAATCACTGTACCTGTGCATTAGGACAAACATTTTGACCTCACATTAAAAGTTATAATGTTATAAGGATGTAAAATGTTGTTACACAAAAATCCAAACAGGCTGACTGCATCATGCTGATGATCAGACACTCAATCAAGGCAGATGATATTTGCCTAAACTGGGCATTAGTTACTAGGGCTCGACTTGTCAAGTTTGCTTTCATTGTTCCTCTCTGGCTGCATGTCCTCAAATATGACAATGGGGCCTGCTCTTCCCCCTGAAGACAATAGGAGCGGTTCCATGCATTTCCATTGAAGTAGGATCAAGCTTACAGCCTCCTCTATTGCTTTAGAAGGTCAATGAGTTGTCTTGAAAAAGGAGAAAATTATGTTTGCTATTAAATGATTTCAAGTGCTTGCTCTTTGCAGTAAGATCATCTGGCCCAGTACAACTGTATTTGAACGACACCATTTCCCCCCCATCTCAGTTATCTGACAATTTAGAAAGTTCAGACTTACCATGTATATGGGAATAGTTGTATACAGCTTTATCAGAGGGAACATAGCAGTGGACTGCATACAAATCTAGTGCATTTTGATCTAAAGATTACAACATTTGATCTATGTCACTAGAATGATCATTTGCAAACTGGAGACCAGTAACCACAAATAAATACATACAACACTTACCTGCGCTCGTGCTTACAAAGCACGTGTATTTTTTCCAGCACACATCTAAAAAGCAAAGGTTACTTGTGCACCAAAATAAACAGAAACAGCAACAGCAAACTGCAGGGCTATATTTGGAAAAATATATTTGTATTTTTTTAAACAAGGAGCATTCTGATACAGATCACTGTGTTGCATACATGATTTGAATAAAAGTTCTGTTACGACACAATGGTAAGTCATTGCTGATGTAGACTTAATATTACAGTAAAATCTTTGTTATTCAGCATTTAAGTAACCAGAAATTCTATTAACTGGGATTTCCAGCTGGCTAGCCAGCTGCGGAGAGGGGGCGGGGGAAAGCTCACACAGTGCCCGCAGTTGCCCCCCACCACTGCCGCTACTCCATGTGCGGCTGCCACCCTGCCGGGTTATTTCAGATAACTGGAATTTTTACATAACTGGCAATCCCCTTGCCCCGGGGATGCTGGATAACAACGATTTTACCGTATTATTATTCTTTTAAAGAAGTACCTCTTAATACATTCCTGTGCAACTTACTCCAGTAAGGTGCTAAGCACTGACAACTCTGACTTCAATCAATTGGTCCAGTAGCGATTACTCTGAATGCACCACTGGACAAAATCCTAAAGCCACTTCATTAATTCCCAGAAAATGCTGTATCAGTCAGAACTGGCTACTGGCCCTGTGCCAAATTATCATAACAGCAGGGACTTGGAAAATACATTAGTTTTTTAGGTGTGTCACCTTTTTGTACACATACAAAGGGATGCCATTATGATATGAACAGGTCTGACACTTCAGAGATTTATTGTTCAGAAAGTTGGGCTCAGAAGTGGGCCCAGAGCCCAGTTCAGAGCTTACCGAAGTCAATGGTGATCCTTTCATGTTCAATGGGTTCTAGATCAATCCCAATTTTTTTTTTAAATATTCCATTTTGCATCTACATGCCAGGCATTCAAAGGTATGCAGGTTTCCAAATAAGTGGCCAGAATTTTTTAAATGAGCTCAGTATGCATGAGCAGTTTAGAAAAATCTGGATATAGGACAATGAAAGCCACAGGGTACTGGATGACTGATAATTGAGCTCCAGCTTTTTTAACAATTCATCCTGTTTTTTTCTCTCTGTTCCAAAGTCACATTTGAAATAAATAAATTCACAGTTACAAATTGAGGCCCAAGTCTTGCAAGCAATTCAAGAGTCGACTTAAACACATGCATAAGGTTCAATGGGACTGGAGCCAAAATTATTTTTGATGTTGAATGATTACGTTTTATGCAACCAGCAGCATGTCAACAGTAGATCAGACCAACATGACTTATGCCTAGCAATTGTAGCAATTTGTATTGTGTGAGAATTAATAAAAAATTGTGAATGGCTGTTTATTGTGGTACCTAACAAAAAGCAGAATAACCACTGTTTTTTGCTGTGCGAGAGATGGAAAATACCAGCGAGGTAAACCACAATGGTAGTATTCTTTACTCCCCTAATCCAGCAAAAGTCAACATACATTCAAGTTACATGTATGATTACTTCCACTGAAATCAACGGGACTAGCGTGTACTTAAATGCTTTGCTCGATTGTATTCTATACCTAGTGATGCACAGACTGAAGCTAGCTCCTTCTATGTGAGGTCAGTGAGCTATGCAACAAAACACCCACAACGAGCGTAGTGACTTCAAACTGGTTCCATTTGAAAACTATGTCCCAAATGGTGTTGGTTGCTTCTGCCTTTCTTTTCACATGAAAAGAATGAGTAACTTAATCATGAAGGTAAATTATATCATAAGGTAAGGTGCTCTTTGCATTTGATGGAAAACATTTATTGTTCTATTTAAATAAAGTTAAACGTTGTACAAGAAAAAATCTGCTCTGGAAAATTAATTAAACTTTAAATAGGTCTATCAATAATCAGGGACAATTTTTCAGAGATCACAGCCTCTAATTTCCTCTGCACTTAATTACGCACAAACTTTTTTGGCATGTGCAAGGCTACTGTACTTGTATGACTTCATGTGCAAACTGGTCCAACGGCTTCAACGAGACTTTATGGGGCACAGTTCTTAGGGCTGAATTTGATCTGGCAAGAATATCTGGAAGGAATTTTT